GTCAATATGTGACGACTTGGGAGTGAGAATGGGTTGGATTAGCATATTACATGTACCAACATTAACACAGGAGACGTACAGGTCCAGCCAAGTGGAAAAAAAAAATCACTCCAAAATGGATAAAAGCCATAAAAACAAAGGAGACGTTCATGTTTATGGTTCCAGAATTTAGCCTTTTTCACTATTCCGTAGCTGCTTGTTCTGTGAATTTTTCACGTAGAGCTGTGACACTTATATTGTTGGAAAGAGCAGAGTCTGGGCTTTAAATTGATGGGCTACTTGTATGGTTTGGATCGTTTTCCCCCGACGTTACTGAACTGAAAACGTAATGATTATCAGGCCGAGGTTCTGCTGCTGTCAGTGCTCAGGAGGGGTGGGGGGTGGGCTCGTCACTCGGCTCGTCACTCGGCTTTAGTCTACGTTGTAATATACACTCTAAAACAAGGTTTTACTTTTGCATAAAACTCATGACAAAGTTGCATAAAAACATTTCATATACACAAACGCGCACACACCTACCTTTGTACCGGCTGCTGCTAGCTTCCTGCTAGCTGTCCTCTGGAGGAGGTCTTTCCTCTCTCGTCTTGGCAGTAAAAGGGGATAAATGTACATTTCCCTTTTGTAACCTCCGTCTTCTCATTTCTGATGGCAGTTCTTGAATATCCTCAGGTTAGAAATGCTGATTACAAACACAAGCGTGAGCTTTTAAAGATAAGTTTTCCCTGTGATGCTATGATCCTCTGCTGTCACCTCCTCATCAAGAGGAAAATGGATAAAAACTAACTACTGATCGTACCTGATGGTTAGTTGACACAACGACACACAACAGAACTCATGTTTTATACCAGTAGATCACAGATGCTTTAACTTTTGTGACTTTTTCATAGACTAGTTCTAGKAGCTAACGCTAAAAACATAGGCAGTAAGCAGGAAGTGGAAGAGAGGAACGTGGCAAGAATTTTACCGGAAATACGTCATTAATGACCGTGGCAAATAGGCTATTATGATGATGTTATATAATCAGTTGTGTTTGGTGGCTGTCTGAATTTGGGTTGACTTCAAAATGTCAGGGTTTTAAATTTATTTATTTTTTTGCTCCCTTTTCTCCGGCGTGTGTCTCCTCATCTTGTTTCTGTCACACAGGCGAGTGTTCATACGAGCTCGTCGAGAAGCCTGATGTATGGCTTCTGGGCCTACATCCTGGGTGAAAGGATCCTTCCAAAGTTTAAGACGTACAGTAAAATCTTCACTGTGGAAGGTAACTTGTCGTCAGGAAAAGGAGCGCTGGCCCAGAAACTGGCTGACAAACTAGGTAATGACCTCCTCACTGGTGCACTCAGCTGGTGTTTCCCACCTCTGAGGAACTGGTTTGTGTTTCCACAGGGATGCTGTACATGCCTGAAGCTGACACTCATTACATGGACAGGGTCAACGGGGAGAAGGAGCCCCTCCATCAGGATTTCAATGGTATGTGYAGTCTGGAGAAGTTTTACTTGGACCCCAAAGCTCCAGATGGGAACAGCTACAGGTTGCAGCTGTGGATGTACCTCATGAGGCTGATGCAGTACTCTGATGCCCTTGAACACTTGCTCTGCACAGGTACCACAGAAAAACACAGCTTTCATCAGCTGCAGATAAGCTTTTGTTGACGATGCAGTGTCTGATCTTTCTCCTGAACCTTTTTTTTAAAGGCCAAGGAGTGATCCTGGAGCGGTCTCATTTCAGTGACTTTGTCTTCCTGGATGCCATGTTTAAACAGGGCTACATCCGGAAGGAGTGTAAGTAATTAATAAGTCTTCAATCACAAAATACTTCTGCAACTTTACCAAGTAAAACCACAGTAAATGGTTCCTGTGCAACACTGAAACATTGTTGTTGCCATGACTGATCGCTGATTTTTGGAATCTGGCCAGGATGCTATTTTGTCATCTGTAAAAATGAAAAACACTTGTTTAAATCATCCAATTTAGTCAATATACAGGGATTAAACTGATGCTGCTTTCAAAAAATAAATCAACCAAAGCCATGATTTTAACCAGTCAGAGCAAAGCAGGGCGGGTCGTGCTTTTTGTTGCGTGTTGCAAGTAGTGTTGCCAACTTCTTAAAGGGATCCCAGATTAGTTGTAACATTAGACTTTATTAGGTAAACATATATTTTAACTGTAAAATNTCCTGTTTTTAGTCAAACCTGGTTTGATTGAAGTCAAACTTTCTTTGTATCAAATGTTTCCTGCAGAGCAGCTCAGTTTGTTTCCATCAAGAATGAAAGCAGTTAAAAACACATGAAA